GCTACTTCTGATACCGCAAGGTAAATGAGCAGTCTTTCCCCAACCTTTGGTTTCGCTAGCAAAGGTGGATTTGATAAGTATGCTTTCAAATCCCTGAGTGCATGTTGACATTTCTCATTCCATTCGAAATGATCCTGCTTTTTAAGGGTTGAGAAGAATTTAAAACATTTCTCTGATAATTTAGAAATGAATCTTCCCAAGGTTGCAATCCTCCCTGTTAATCTTTGAACTTCTTTCTTGCTCGAAAGTATATTAGGGATTTCCTCAATGGCCTTAATCTGTGCAAGATTCACCTCAATACCACGGTTAGAAACAAGAAAACCCAAGAATTTACCTGACACAACACAAAATGCACATTTTTCGGGGTTTAACTTCATATTAAATTTCCGCAAAATCTTAAATGTTTCAGACAGATGCGATATATGATCTCCTGAGTGTTGTATTTTAACGAGCATGTCATCTATATAGACCTCCATAGTTTTTCCCAGATGTTCTTGAAATATTTTGGTAACTAACCTTTGATACGTTGCTCCTGCATTCTTTAAACCAAAAGGCATTACCTTATAGCAGTAAGTCCCCCTGTCTGTTATGAATGAAGTGTTTTCTTCATCTCCCGGATCCATTTTAATCTTATTATAACCTGAATATGCATCTAAAAAAACTTAATAGTTCATGACCTGCAGTTGCATCAATCAATTGATCTATGTGTGGTAGTGGAAAAGAATCTTTAGGGCATGCCTTATTAAGATCTGTGTAATCTACACAAACCCGCCACTTACCGTTGTTCTTTGGAACTACAACAGTGTTAGCTAACCAGTTAGGATACTTTACCTCACGAATGGAACCAATTTTTAATATTTTTGCACCTCATCCTGAATCACCCGATTTTTGAAAGTGCCCTGCTTTCTTTTCTTTTGTTTGACTGGTGGATGAGATGGATCCTCATTTAACTTGTGAGTCATTAACTCCGGTGGTATACCTGTCATATCAGAATGGGACCAAGCAAAACAATCTGCGTTAGCTTTTAAAAATTCAATCAACTTACGTTTCATATCCGGGCTGAGATTGGCTCCTATATACACTTTTCTCTCCGGCCAGTGTATAAACAAAACCACAGCCTCCGGCTCTTCTATCGTTGTTTTGATGTTTTCATTTTCTTATGGTTCTTGAATGGAATTGGGCCTTGAATCTACATCTATTTGCCCTTGTTCAGTTGAGGTTGACGCTATGTTATCCTCAACTAAATTCTGTAATTGCTATTTTTCTTCACCCTTAACACTTGAATCTGCCACGGAGTTGATGCTTCTGGATGTTTGTTGATCTCCACGAATTTGACAGATTCCCCACAGCGACGGAAATTTAATAACTTGATGCAAGGTTGAAGGAACAACCTCCATTTCGTGGATCCATGGTCTCCCAAGAATCATGTTATAAGCCATCTCCATATCTACCACCCGGAACTTTGTATTTTTGACGACGTGGTGAGTGTTACCTCTCCTTTCGTGACAACACTAGAATTATCAAATCCAGATAGAGTATGCGCCTTTGGTATCACTTTATCTTCAGCTTGCATCTCACGTAATACTCTTACCAAATGTTCTCGGAACGACCTGGATCAATCAAAACTCATTTTATGTTAGTGTCATGTACAAGTGAAGATATTACCAGTGCATCGTTATGTGGAGTTAATAGACCCTCGGTATCTGCATCATCGAATGTAATATTTTCTTCCTCCAAGATATGGCGCGGCCGCTTCCCGTGGGTAATTGTTACTTTGGAAATATTTTTAGCTGCACTATATGATACGCCATTGATATCTTTTACCCCCCACTTATAACGTTGACAGTTCTTTTGGGAGAAGGTGGTTTTGGAGGCTCCTACCTGTTCTTCATGTATGCCTGTTTACCTTTCTCGCTGAATAACTCAGTGAGATATCCTTGTTTTAATAAATGATCAACTTCACCCTGCAAAAACCTGCAATCTGCTGTTTTATGCCCGTGATCGTTATGAAACTCGCACCAATGATTAGGGTTTCGTCTGTTTGGATTTGATCTCATCTCTTTTGGCCACCGTACCTTATCTCTCATGCTTCTCAAAACAGACACGAGTTCAAAAGTACTCACGTTGAAATTATAACCACCAAACCTTGCCTTTAGACTTCCATTATCGTCTCGTGGCTCACGTGTGTTTCGGTCACTCCTAAATCTTGATGATGAGCCTAACTCTCTATTCCTTGTGATCGTACCTCGGATTGTCCTGTTTTGATCGTGAGTCTCTTCCCGTAGGTCCCATATATGGCTCGTACCTATTTTTACCAGACCTTTTTTCATTTTCAGCCCGTCTTGAGCTTACCTTTTCGTCTTTTTGATGTCGTGAAATAATATCTTCTTCAATCCTTAGTTTTGTACTGTAACGGTTGTAAACGTCATTCCACGTTGTAGTTGGGCATTCACGAAGGCTTTCCTTGAGTCGCCTCGTAGCTTCTGAGCTTTTTTCATTCAAATTGCTCGTGAAAGCTATAGTTGCCCAGTTATCTGGTACTCGTGGCAGTGTCATTCTTTCACGCTGGAATCTGTCCTCAAACTCCCTAAGCAATTCTGAGTCCACTTGTTTGATCTTGAAAATATCTTCCATTCCTTTTTCAACTTTTTGGGCTCCCGAGTGTGCTTTGATGAAAGAATCTGCTAGCTCAGCAAAAGAATTTATAGAATTTTTGAGTAAAAGAGAATACCATGTTAGTGCACCCTTAGTGAGTGTTTCGCCAAATTTTTTGACTAACACAGATTCAGTCTCCTGCTTAGTCAAATTGTTGCCTTTTACGCCTGTTGTGAATGCAGTCACGTGGTCTCGTGGGTCTGTTGTTCCATCGTATTTTGGTATATCAGGCATTTTGAATTTCTTTGGGATTGGAAGGGGAGCAGCACTTGGCTTCCAAGGTTGTTGAGAATATTTATCCACATCTACCCCTTTGATCACGGTGGCACCCCAGGTATTTGTTCTATGCAGTCACTTTGCTCCTTGAGCTGTTTCTGCAAGGTTAGCACTAAATTTTGTAAATCAGAATTAACTAAATTACCTGGTTCTCCCTCCTGTGATTCGCTGGGGGCTCCACCACTACCTGAATTAACGAGCCCGGAATGAGGATTCTCTAGAGTGTTGTTATTTGGTGTGGGTGTGGGTGGTGTAGCCGGTAATTGACTAACAAAAGCCTGAAGAGCTTTATTGACTTGTGAGGCAATAAGTTTTTGCAAAGCCTCATCCATAGTTTCAACATTTTCAAATTGAGCCTGTCCATCTGTGTGAGACCCATCAGGAGTGCCTTCACGAGACCGCCGTGGAGAGCCTCGTGGAGAAGGAATCAGCACGTTATTGTTCTGTGGATCTCCCTGAAGTTGCTGGGTTGTTTGGTTTTCTTGGTTGCCTGGAATGTTATCATTGTTGTTTGACATGGTTGATGTAACAAGGAAAGTTAGGCTAGAATAAAATGGATTATCAGATTTCCGGTAACAGAACCAAATTGTTTAACCAAAAAATAGAATTTTAGTCAAAGCTAGAATTTATAAGAACTCGGGTTACTGATAATCAAGAAAATGAATAAAAAGAAGTAATTCTGGATAGCAAGATGGTAATCAAGAGAAACAAATAAATCAATGTATATTCCCCCAGTATTTCGTGTCCTTACAACTGATCATATATCTCCTTTTTATAGATATCTTTGGAAATATGCGTTTTGCTCAAATCATAATGAGGCTATTATGAGTAATTAAAGACATTGAATACTACGTTACACAATCATTACATTCAATACAAATTCTCTAACATATTCAGCATTTAATACCTATTAAATGCCGTATCTGTACTCTTTTCTATTGTTAGATTCATTCCTTCTAATTCTCGGATATAAATGACTTAAATAGGTACGGGCGCCGAGTTATTTGTCTGATTGCCCGTGCCTCTTCCTCTGCCTTTGCTCGTATCTGTTGCAACTCGTGACTCTTGGCTAATTGTAATTCTTTGACCATTTGACCCATCCATGTGTATTGACACGTCACCTTTATATATAAATATTATTTTTCCCAATACAAGCTCAACTTCTGTTATCATTATTCCAAATAAAAATAAAAGCAAAAAAATAAGTTAAATACGTAACACTTGATGTATCTTATGAATAAAGGATAATTATTAAATTGCCAAGGAGATTAATCCAACTAGCAGTTGTCTTTAATTCTACTCGGAAACAAGGTTAAATACTTCCCTTGATTTCTTGTTAAGACGTGCATCAAAAAATTAAAATTCACCCTCTTGGTTCCGATTTGATTGAAGGATACACAGGAAAATGGTACAATTTGATGTTGGATTCGCCCTGGCTTCATGTCCTTTGGACCCTTCGCCTGCCCGCCACTAGTGCATTTCAATCGTGAAGATTCTGTCCATCCACGGATTCTTCTACGACTACCTTGTTATGCAAATCACATGAGAATATATAATTTCTTCAGACTTATGAAATGTATAAAGCTATCTATTTACAACAACAGATGATTCTAGATTGTCATTGTAAAGCCCCAAGACAAGACAATGGGAATAGATTATTTATACATATTTAGTAATTTTTTTAATACAAAATAGGGTTTGGGCTAAACTACTGGGTTCTACCGACCCATAAGTAATAACTTAGATAGAAAAAAGGAAAACTGTTCTGCTGAGCAGGACATTCAAGGTTCAATGGAGAAAACGAAATAGTTTAAATTGACATAAACCATGAATCACTAATCAAGTCTACAACGAGAGTAAAGAAAATAGCTGAAAATAAAACAAGCAAAAGAAATCAAATCCCAAACTACAACGATCACTCCAATTTAATGAGTTCTCCATCTCGGTACGCAACTGCACAAATAACACCACCATTTATATAAATTTTTCATGAGGGCAAAATAGGAAATACAAATAAAAAATAAATAAAGAGAGATTAAATAAAAAAGAGTTGGTTTGGTTACCAAAGCAAAGACCAGTCAATAGTCATACTAATCTTCTCTTTGCTTCATCACCTAGAGCATAGACAAGCTCAAGACCAAAGCAAAAGATCAGTCACAAGTATCTTCTCTTTCCTTCACCTCGCCTAAAATGGACAAGCTCAATAAATCAGTCATTTTCTCACAGGTTTACCTCGGAGCTCCGAAGCCGGGAAATCTCAGATAAAGGACCAAGATGTATTTCCAGTTCTCTTTAACAGAAATGGTGTTAAGATTTATGCATCTCGTCGATCTTTATAAGCTTTATCTTCCAAAACACCCCATATTTCTCTGATTTCACCTTGTTCAAGCCTTCGCCGTTTACTTCTTCACGCCGTTCCTGGTGGATCCATTTCGGAGGTCGGTTTTTCTAAGTTCAGCTAGTTCCTCTTTTTTACTGTCTATTCTCTTGCAAGATATTTTTTTTGGGGTAGTCATCAGAGAATCTGCGTTTTGTATTGAAAGATAAATATAGCCCAATAGTTTGAGATTGATGCAAGTATTTTTCGAAATGTATATGAGCTTGTGTGTAATGTACTTTTTGCTAATCGCTATTACTTAATATAGCACTATCCTTTTTTGTTGTAAATTCTTGTGTAATGAACGTGTTCCTCTCTGATTGAGATGAAAATAGGAGAAGGGTGTTTATAGTTAAGCAATAAAGATAAGTCAAAAGGCTTCGAAGAGTACAAATACTAAAATTAAATTGTAAAGGTAAATGACAAACTTGACATTGAGAATCTCTTAGGAATAAATGATAGGGAAATATCCATTAAACAACAAAAGAAGTCGTGATGAAATTAAAATTTGTTCTTGCTGACAATTTCATATGCTAATTGCTTCTATTTTCTTCCACATCAAAGCTCTTTTTCTTGGACTTCTCTGTAGCACTTGTATTTTGAAGGGTTTGTAAGCTAATACATTTTTTTCCATTCCACATATACTTCTCAGCATTTATCACAACGCCGCCAACTTGAGCTCGTGCAGGCCTATGAGATGAATCATCCTCCATTGGCCTTCTTGGTTGTGAAAAAAAATAAAGAACGCAAATGTATTACCTATCTCTCAAAGTACTAAATCACCTATATTTAAGGTTCCATACTTGCATTGAGTTTAGAATGTTCATTTATATGTCCAGTCCAATAAGTGGACTCAATATTGATTTGCTTACTTGGTGGGATTGACTTGTCGCATTTTGACACCAATCTTGAGTTGTTTGAGTAGCTTAAGGTAGAGTTGTTGAATTCGGGGAATCACTACTCTTCTTGCAAGTTGTTTTGTTGTGACCAGTTTGCAAGCACTTGCTACACCTCCCTAACTTCCCTTTCTTACTCAATTTGGTAACATCATGCATTTCACTCGTTGCAGATTGTTTTTTTCTTTTTCTCTCTTCTCTGTTTTTTCATCTCAACTGCTTTTCTCTTGGAGGCTTCAATATCATCGGGCTCTTTTCTTCTAATTTTGTTCAACTTACTTTTCTTCGGCTCATAGTTAGGAGGGTTAACATCAGGTAGATTAGTAGGTTCCCACATGTCAGGTCCATCCATTGGAGCAATGACTGGCTCATAAATCCTCATTTGAGTAGTTTTCTTGTAACAATCATGTATGAAATTTTCTGGATTCTCTCTTATATGGAATATGCAGCTCATTGCATGTGAGCATGGGATCCTGTAAGGTCCCATCCCCTGCATGAACAGGTTCTTCCACTCAAGTCTACACTAAATTGTTCACCATACATGGTCTTTACTTGAAATAAAAATTTTCCAGCCCAAGTAGGAATTGATGTAGCTGAGTCTTCCTTCACTTTTTCTACTAGTTTTCGGATTCGAGGGCATAAATTTCCTGTTATAGTAAAATATTGTTAGGATCATGTTAAATATTTTGTGCTTCAGAGAAGTTACAATAACAATATTACCTTGGTATTTGAGCAGGTCTTCCCTCTTTTGGTTCAGTTTCTTCATCAGGTATATTCTAATTCCTTCAAGTAGTCCAAGTATAGGTTTCTCCCTTGCCCTTAAAATGGGTTTTGTCCCATTGAATGCCTCACAAATATTATTCAAAAGCATGTCACACTTTGTTGTTGTTCTAAAATGTGACTTGCTCCAGAATTTGGGTGGTTTATCGTTAAACCAATTTCTAGCTTCTTTGTCCTCCTTTTCCAGCATATCCATCTCATATCTATACTTACTTACATAAGTTGCCCTTGCAGCTTTCCAAACTCTTGTCTTCAACGATAAACCTTTGTGCTCTTTCTTGAAATTATTGTACAAATGTCTTAAACAATGCCTATGTTCAACTTGGGGAACTGTCTCATAAATAGCTCCCTCCAAACCCTACAGAAGTGAGGAGAGTAGTAAACATGGCTAATTTTGATAATTGAAAGCAACTAGAATTTGATAATATATGTGGATAAAAATTCTTACCTTTTGTTTGTCTGTAATAAGACATAAGTTATCATGATTTTTAATTTGCAAGTCATCCACCAACAAATTTAAAAACAACTTCCAGTTATGTTTATTTTCAATATCAACTACTGCATAGGCTATAGGAAATATGCCATTATCAGCATCTATCCCAATTGCTGTCAAAAGTTGACCTCCATATGGTCCTTTAAGAAAGCAACCGTTCATCCCAATGAGTGGCCTATAACCTGTCATCCAACCTCTTCTGCAGGGCTCAAGACATATGTAAATTCTTTTAAAAACAGGTCTGCCATCCTCTTCATGAGGTGTTGTTTCTAACAATACAGTTGATCCTGGATTCTTTCTCTTGAGTTCTGCACAGTAGTCCTCTAATTTTGCATATTGTTCTTTGTAATGACCTTCAATCATCTCCTTTGCTATTGTCTTTGCTCTATACACTTGGCTTACGGAAACTTCAACATTCATCTCTTCATGTATTTTGTCCATGAAATCTCCTACTGATACATTTGGATGTATTCTCAAATAATGCAGGAATTTTTTGGCAATCATTCGAGATTTCACATTTTTGTTGGCATAAACAAACAAACAATCATCAGAATGTTTCCCTACTAAAGTTTTTATCGTGATTGTGGGGTCATCTGGTCCCTTTCTAGAAGCATATATGCGCCATGGACATTGATCACAACATTTTGCAGAAATTTTATCAGATTCATTCTTTTTGAAGGAAATTTTCTTGTTATTTTTAATAGAATAAGATCTCAGTGCAGCTCTAAATTCTATTGCATCAATGAATGTCATTCCCAACCTAAATGTTGGATTATCCATGTCCGTTTCTTCCCTAAATGCAACATTTTCAACCTTTCTAACCTTTTCATCATCATCGCTATTAATGCTGCACATGTCATCTGAATCATACTTAGGAGAGATGTTATCATTCTCAGATTCTGTACTTGAGTCCTCCAGTAGTAACCCGGCAAAATTGGCACTCTTAGCTTTCTCCATCACTTTATCTTTCTTTTTTTCCTTCCCCTCTTTCCTCCCCTTTACACTAACTTCGCTATTTCCTGCTAGATTTTTCTTTTTATCCTCTCTTCCTTTCAGCTTCATTGCCGCCTTATCCTTTCCAATATTGTCCCAAATTCCAAGCCATTCACTGTCTGAATCTATCTCCAAACCATTCGACTCTTCTTCACTTTCATTTATATGATATTCATCACCTTCAAAATGCTCCAATTCTTGGTAAACATCACTATTTTTATCCCCACCATAATTTGCTCTTTCCAATTCAAAGTCATCTAAGTTAATACTTACCTCTGCAGACTTTTGAAAATATGATTATATGCACCATCATTCGATGCCTCCAAGTCTATTTGCACCCCATTATCCTCACAAATATAATTAGCATTGGGACTCACTTGATTTTGTATTTTTGATACATTACTAGCATGTGTAATAAATGTATACTTCAGCAACTCTATTAGCTGGAAGTGTTTTTACCATTAGATCACAATCAGCATTAGTCAAGCATTGAATATAACCATTACCAGTATCTGTCATAGGTAGTTTAAAGTGCCAGCCCAGACTATTGTTGTATCCTAATCTCGTTGTTCCAATCCATTCTAAGGTTTGCAATGACCATTTATGTGGATCACACTTATCAATAAAATCTATCTTTCCTCCCAAATAAATCCTCTCTGGTACATCTAAAAATTCACCTCCATGATGAATCTTCAATGTAAAAAGCTCATTATCCATACCTGTGACAATGCAAGGTTTAAGCTAGCTCAATTTCTAGATTAGATAAAAAAAGAATATACACATTGAAGAACTACTTTTGGTATCAGAATATTCAATAAAAGTAAAAAACTACGGTCAACAAAAAAGCTAAATTGACACAAGGTAACATCGCTTGTTTTAGTAAAACTGAATAGCATAATTCCATTAAATATCAAGTCTTGAACAAGGATATTATTTTTCTGTAGAATGCACTTGTTGAAGCACATGAGGGATCACATAGCATAGTTGGCAAAGAAAGATACAGGAATGATATTTGATGCCTTGAGGATTGCTGTCCAATTTGTTCCAAAGAGAGGATATTATTTGTTGATGGTTTAGATTAGCCTATTTTTCATTATGCTTTATTGAATTGGAGGGAAGCATTTGTGGCTTTTCAACAAAGCCTGTTTTATCTAAAGTAGAGTATGAACTTAAATGAATTGATCTTTCTTTATTGATTTACATGATAGTATTCAGAGTTGTTTGAAATTTTGATAGATTTGCAAACGTTTCTTTCTGGTGCATTGTTGTAGTGAGTTGAGTTTTGTGATTTATTTTTAAAAAAAAAATAGTAATAGCAGATAGAGGATGGGAGATGTCACGATCCAATTCCCAAACCCGGTCGTGATGGCGCCTCTCGTGAAGACAAGGCCAGCCAACATAACATCAATTCCTCTTTAATAATTACTTAGCATAAATAAGTAAAACATTAATAAAATTATTATAAGCGCGAAAGAAAAGTGATAAAACAGGGAACCATCCCTACACAGCCCGACTGGGGTACCACGAGTCACGAGCATCTAGAGAAGTCTAAATACAATTACAGGGCCAACAGTATGCAAAATGAAATTTAGAATCAAGGAAGAAATTCGGTGCCGCGAACGCTGGCGGTCACTCTGCTCAGCTACAATAGCAACACCTTCAACCAGCTCAAAACCCGCTATCGGGTGAACAATACCTGCATCTGCACGCGAGGTGCAGGGAGTAAAGTGAGTACTCCAACTCAGTGAGCAATAAGAGTAAATAATAACTGAGCAAACAATACGCTATACAGAAGCTGGGTACAATCTCTGAGAAAACAGTGAAATTAGTAAAATCTTTAGAAATGTCACGGCTCAGTTCAAATCTCTTTTGAAAATGGTCTTTTCAATAATTACGAAAACTGTTCAAAATAGTTAGTGCTGATTAGCATAGAAAATCCGCCCCTCGGGCATAAATACCACAGTATAGCAGGTGAAAATGCAAATAAGTATGCAAGGTGAGCACATAAAAGTTCGCCCCTCGGGCACAGCTCGAAACAGTACCAGCCCCTCGGGCTCAATATCAATCGCTCAAACAGTATCAGCCCCTCGGGCTCAGTATCACATCACTCAGAACAGTGTCAGCCCCTCGGGCTCAGTATCAGTCACACAGTACAACATCAGCCCCTCGGGCTCACTCTCAATCACATGGGTACCCGCGCTCACTGTGGGTGTGCAGACTTCGGAGGGGCTCCTATAGCCCAAGTGCTATATCATCATAAGGCCTGAAAGCCTGTACATATCAACATGAGGCCTGAAAGCCTTCTCATAATACACTCGAGGCCTGTAAGCCTCCTCACATATCGCTCGAGGCCTGAAAGCCTCCTCACATATCACCCGAGGCCTGAAAGCCTCCTCACAATACACTCGAGGCCTGAAAGCCTCCTCGCATATCACTCGAGGCCTGAAAGCCTCCTCACATCACTCAACATATCCTCACATATGGCCCTCGGCCTCAATTAGTCCAAAAAAAATCATAAGCCCCTCGGGCATCAGTAAAACAAAATGCTCAGCTCAACAATAGTTCAAATATCAGTTAAAAGCTCAAGGTTGAGTAAAATATAGCTGAGTGCATGAAACAGTGTAATTCAAATGGACTGAGTTCAAATAATAATTCAAATAGTGAGGAAAACAGTGATGATAGCTCACAAGGAGTTCAAACAGTCGGCAATATGCCTTAAGTATGGCAATAAGCTCAAGTCATAGTGAAAAACAACAAGTCATAATGAAATACGCAGTAAAATCAACAACCGAGACGGATCAAGTCACAATCCCCAACGGTGCTCTACCCCACGCTCTCTATCCGGCGTGCAAGTCACCTCAATATAGCACTATGGGTGCAAATCCGGGGTTTCAAACCCTCAGGATATCATTTACAATCATTACTCACCTCGAACCGGTGAAATTTTTAGCTCGCTAAGCCTTTTCCCCTTGAATCGACCTCCTCGCGCATCGAATCTGATCAAAACCACAAGGGATACGTCACAATAGGCTAAGGAGACATAACCCAATCGAAAAGACTCGAAAATTATCAAAAATCACGAAGTTGGCAAAACCCGAGCCCCGGGCCCACTTCTCGAAAAATTACAAAATTCACATCACCGGATTCCTCGTCTCGCCACGAGTCCATACATATCAAATTTACCAAAATCGGAGTCCATTTGACCCCTCAAATCCCTATTTTAAACTCTCTTAAGTTCAAGCCCTAAATCCCCATTTTTGACATTTGATTCCTTGATTATTCAGCCTAAATCCGTGTTTTTACACCATAAAATCGTATTCTAAGTCCAAGAATCCATACCTGATTAAATCCCTCGAAGCCCTCTTCAAAATCGCCTCAAAGCTCTCAAAATTCGAAGTCCAAAATGTTGTTCTTTCAAAAATTCGCGAAGAAGACTATTTCACTTAGCTGCCCAGGCATTCCGCTTCTGCGGAGAGAATGTCGCTTCTGCGACTTCCGCATCTGCGGTCCACGTCCGCTTCTTCGGACTTTCACTTAAGGGCCCCTACCGCTTCTGCGACCCACATTTCGCATCAGCGGGACCGCCTATGCGGTCCTAACTTCCGCTTCTGCGGACTCTAACAAGGACCCATTTTTCCGCTTCTGCATCTTCCAACTCACTTCTGCGAGACCGCACCTGCGGTCCCATAGCCGCAGGTGCGAAAACACCAGATACCAGCAATATGAAACATGCAACAACTCCAAAAACTCTCCGTTTAACCACCCGAACTCACCCCGAGGCCCCCGGGACCTCAACCAAAAACACCAACACATTCTAAAACTTCATTCAAACTTGTTCCAGTCCTCAAAATACATCAAACAACGCTAAAACCATTAAATCACATCGGATTCAAGCCTAAGTTTCTTAAAAACTTCCGAAATACGCATTCGATCAAAAACCCGACCAAAACACCTCCGAATGACCTGAAATTTTGCACACACATCCGAATTCACCTAACGAAGCTACAACAATTCTCGATATTCCATTCCGACCCTCGGATCAAAATCTCACCCATCAACCGGAATTCACCAAAATATTAACTTCGCCAATTCAAGCCTAATTCTACACCGAGCCTCCAAAATCACTTCCGATCACACTCCTAAGTCACAAATCATCCCCCGAAGCTAACCGAATCACCGGAAATCACATCCGAGCCCTATAACTCATAAGTCAACGTCCGGTTGACTTTTCCAACTTAAGCCTTCCTTAAAGAGACTAAGTGTCTCATTTCTTATCAAAACCAATCCAAATCAACTCTAACACACCACATACCGATAACAAAACATGAAGAAGCATAAAAATGGAGGAAACAGAGCAGTAACATATGAGACGACGGGTCGGGTCGTCACATCCTCCCCAACTTAAACAAACGCTCGTCCTCGAGCGTACCTATAGTTGTACTAGAAGCAACCCAATAGCTGAATGACCTTACCAAGCATATACCCGG